GTAGCTGCTGACGTCTGGCTCGAACTTGTCCACGTTCGCTGAGGGGCGACGGGGCCTGCACCCATTGCCCGACCTTCCCACGCGCGCTGATCTCGGGAATGCAGCTGCAGCGTAGGCTGCAGCGTCGCCTTCCGCCCTGATCCCACTGCTATAACTGATCATGTTGGGCTCCAATGCCGCCTGCCGCATTTTGCTGGGCAGCGACAGGGCCTGCTGCAGTGCCCACCCTTCTCGCGCCTGCCCCAGCGCTGCAACTGATGACAGCGGGCTCCGACTTCGCTTCCCCCATTCCGGCAATAGCGCCGGAGCGTGTTGCCATTTCCCGTTTTCTTGACACACTGATTCCAGCGTCGTAGCTGACAACGTTGCGCTCCAACTCAACCTCTGACACCCGCTGAGCAGCGACAGTGCGAGTTGCCATTCCTCACCCCTGGCGCGCGCGCTGCTCCCAGCGCTGCAGCTCACAGCGTCCAGCTCGCACCTCGCACCTCGTGCTCGAAGCCTCTGCAGCTCCCCGCCGGGTGCCCCCTGATGGTGTTTTGAATGCGCGTCATTGCCTCCATAACCCATCCCACCAGGGCACAGCAGAGCCTGGCCAAAGAACCAGCAGCTGCACGAACTGCTGGTTCGCCCCGTACTCCTGCGCACACCAGGCAGTCTCCCTCCGCAGCGGGGCGTGTTCCAAATTGCGCCCCCATGCCGCTTTCCACTGCAACCTCCGTCATGTGGCACCGTGCTGCGAGAAGCTCAGCAATGAGCCACGATGGGGAAAAACTGGTGGCCCCTGGCGGGGGAAACTGGCTGTCTATGTGACTTGCGATAGGGGCGTACCGAGCCCCCACCCTGGCCAGCTGGAAGCTAAGCCTTGTGCCCAAAAGGTCCAGGGGATGTCGGGGAGCTTCAAGGTCGCCCGTGAGCGAGTCGTCCGCGGTGGTCACCCATGGTGATCCTAACCTGCGGCACACGATGCAATTGGGGATGTCCTGCCGCGTGTTCCAACAGCCACAGCGCCCGCATCTGCCGTTGGGGTGGGAAAAATCTCTGAACATTATCATTTGTGGGGTGTTGTTTATGGGCCAGGGCCCTGCCAGGTTGTCGTTCTCAAAGTCCCTGGGCCCTCCTATGTCCGGGGTCTGAAGTTCGGCATTGGGGATGGCTGGGGTGACCCGCCCGTCGCGGCCTGCCATATTGCGGCGAGGAGAGGACGTCCGCCCCTGTCTCAACCCAGTGTCCTCTACTGATAGCCCACTGCCTGACATCGCTATGGTCTGGGAAGTGAGCCGTGTTGCGGCGGTGCTCGTGGACCAGGTGTTTGCACATCCTGGACTTGTGTTCTGAGTTGGTGTCAGCATGATCGTTCTCAGCCACGTCCGGCGCGGGATCGTGTCGCCACCTGGACATGCCGAGGAGAGTCGGGGGAAAAAGGTCGTCTGTCGGGTCGCGCACTCCTATGTCCACGTAGAGCGCGGCGTGGCGTAGCATGTCGCACTCCCTTTCTGCCGCTATGGTTTCTTCCTGCGCAGGTTCGTCAAAGCCGTGGAATTCATCTTCGACGTCTGGGTCTTGTGATAGACTGGCGTAGCGGAAGGCGAGCACCTGTGCTGGGTCCGGCCCATCTCCACCTAGCCTAGCTTCATGATCGGCTCCTGTGATGGACCAGACCAGCCAGGAAAGGTCCAGCTGAGCCATGGCTGAGGCACAGCTGCGAAGGCTTCCCGTGCTTTCCTGCTCCTGCATCATGGGTCCGGATGGTCCCCTGTTAGAGCGGTCATTTCCCCTTGTCGCTGGGGGGCCTACGTTCCCCGGGGGGTGACGGAGCCAGCATAGGCTTATTAGCTCAACCAGCCCTTCACGCATGGCCCGGCTGCGAGGGGGGGCCCTGTGGGTACTCCTCCATGGCCCGTCCCTAGGCTCGTGGTGCTCAAGCAGGGCCGAGATTGGACCCCCTCTCATGGTGTTCCGAGGGTCCATAACTATAGGGGGCCTGACAGGGTGAGTCGATGTTACGTGACACCCCTCCTCTTGGTGGCGGGGGTGGGGGTCTGGGCTGGGGCGCGCGCCCCCTTTGCCTGTGAACGCCCCCCCTTCTTCCTGGGCTGCGCGTCCTTGACCCTTCGGGCCGAGCAGGCCAGATGCCTGGGGGGGGGGGGGGGGAGATTGGGCTGTCGAGACCCCCAGCGTCTGACTCGATGCTGATTTCGTCGTCGCTCTGACATTCCTACGCGCATCCGTCGCTCGGGGCGCCGTCTTCTCGGTCGCCCTCGCTTGGGGCCGACCCCCCTACAGCGTCTGCCCCTGTCCTCACGTCGCGGCCGTGCTCCGTGCGATGCCGACTCTCTCCGTCTGCGCCGATTCCTCTCGGATCGAATGGCACAGTGGGGGTTATTCCTAAGTCCTCTGTCGCGTCAGCCCTGGGCAGCCAAGTCGGGAAGGCCGGTTGGATCGTGTGATGGGAGTGGCGTCCTGTCGGGGGAAGCCGCGACTCGACCTCCGCTGGGACTCTCTAGCGGGGGGTGCGTCGCCTCGTGCATTCTGCTTTGCGCAGCACCTATCTCTTCCGCTGGGGCTGGGAGGCCCTGCGGACCAGCGTCGTCGGCGCCCCTCCCTGCAAGACGCCCTTCCTGGTCGTAGGGGGGACCTTGTGTCGTGTCTATCGGCCTACTCCGGCGACCACTTGCCAGCCTGCCAGGGCTAGTCTCTTCCCTCTGAGCAGCGCCAATATCTGGGGTGCTGCCCTCAGGTGCCACCTCGGTAGCCTCGTGGGCCGCAGCCAGACCGTCATGTCCCTCGTGGGGAGGAGGAGGGGGGGAGGCGCAGCCGATAGCCGCAGAATCTGGTGAATTGGAGGATTGGGGGGAAGAGACGGTCATGCGCGCCCTCGCGGAGCCCGCGTCGTCGGCGTCTGTCTCTACTTGAGCTCGCGCTGGCTCAGTGTGGGGGATAGTATCCTCGATGGACTGCCTCCGTTCCTTTGGAAGCCCTGTCCCTGTCCATTGGGGGGGGCGAGCGTAATGGGAGGATGAGGGGAGGAGGAGGCGCAGCCGATAGCCGCAGTATCTGGTGAATTGATGGAGGGGGGCGGGCGGTCGCCGATGTGTGTCCGCGTGGGGTCGTCTTCCTCTCTGAAGGTGGCCCGTCCAGCATCTGCTGTATCAACCATCCTATTTCCGCCGCCCTGGTCAAGGGCGCTGCTGCTCACCACGGGGGGGATCGCAGGCGTGCCCTACGCCGTCGGAGTACACCCTGCGAAATGGTTTAGAAATCATGGGTTAAGAAATTCTTAGTCTCAGAATTTGAAATCAAACCCAGAATGTCTATTCAAATGTTGGGATTTGCATTGAAACATTAAGAATAATCGAGACTCTGGCCGAAAACTTTGGTTTTCTTAAGCATCGCCTGGAGTGTAAGGGGAGAGGAGGAGGCGCAGCCGATAGCCGCAGGATCTGGTATATGGAAGGAGGAGGGAGAGTCGTCGTTTGAGAGCGTCCGCGCGGAGCCCTGGTCGTCTGTGATGGGTCTCCTCGCGCCGAGCTGCGGGGGGACTGCTGCTGCCACTGTCGGAGCGGCCCCAGTGGCAGGCGCTCCGCCAGCCGGTCCCTGGCCATCTTGCCGCACCCCGGGTGACGTAGCATGAGAGCCTTGCACGGTGGGAGGATGAGGGGAGGAGGAGGCGCAGCCGATCGCCGCAGGATCTGGTAAATTGTTGGAGGAGAGGGGGAGGACGGCAACGTCTCTGCCTGCGTCGTCTTGCGGGGGGTCCTCTGCCGCCACTGTCGGGGGGGAAGCGCCATCTTCCCTTCCATGTACCGCGTCGTCGTCACCTGGGCGCCCTTCTCCCGCAGTCCCCAATGTGGGTCCTGAGGCCCCGTTTCCAACCGCTGTGGGTTGGGCAGCGTCCAGGGCTCGGGCCCCCATCGGGCCGTCCACCCGTCCTCGCGGGGAGGCGGGAGGCGTAGGAGGGACTGGGATATGCTCAGGATTCATCGTCGCGTCCTGGCCATCCCCCAGAGCCTGCGACTCTCCTTCCACCGAGCGGGGGGGAGGTGGTCCCAGGCTTACTCTCGATGTTGGGTCTGCCACGCCTGTGGGCGATGGCTGCTCCGCGTGGGGGGATGTTGTCCCAGTCGCTGGCAGTAATTGGACTCCCGATCCACATACTGCACGATCTGCGTCGTCGTCCTCTCCATCTGGCGGGTCAGGCATCGTCGGCGTGGCCAACGGGAGGACACGGCGGCGCTGGGCGGGAGGGCGCCCCCTTGAGAGGTGGGAGACTGCCCCGGAGGGGGCAGGCCCACCAGGGGATACGCGAAGCGTCTAGAATTTACTCCTGCCTCCTCCCTTTACTCCTCATCCTACTTAGGTTCCTGATCATGCGTCTCCCTCTCGCTATCCACCTGCGCAATCCTTGTTCCTTTTTCGTCTCCCCTCCTCCGAATTCCCGCTTCGAGCGGGCCTGCAATTTCTCGCCCATCTCCGGCTTCCCTCATTCTTCATCCCGCCTCCCGTCGCCACCCTCCCTCCTCCCTCGCCCCTCCTCCCTCGATGCTTCCCTCCCTCCCTTCTCCTGACGCTCCCCTTTCCCCTCGTACATCCACACACCACCTTACGGCAGGTTCGTGTCGTGCCGAGCCCGGCGTTGGTTTTTGACACCGCAGGGATCGTTCAACCTTGAACGATCGGCCGCTGCCGCAACGTCCGATCGTTCCACATCGAACGATTCTGGGTCGCCCGCGGCGTTCAAAGTTGAACGCCGCTGGCGGGGTCGCCGCCGGTCGACACGACGCGAACCTACCGTACTTTCCTTTGCCTCATCCCTCCTCCGACCGCCTCCACTATCACTCCTCCCTCCTCCTCCTCCTCCTCCTCCTCCTCCTCTCCTCCTCCTCCTCCTCCACCTCCCCCTCCTCCTCCTCCTCCTCCTCCTCCTCCTCCTCCTCCTCCTCCTCCTCCTCCGACCGCCTCCATTATCACTCCTCCTCGTCCCCGGCCAGGTGCTGCGCCTGGCGCGAAGCTGTGTCGGCCAGGTCCGCCTCGGTGGACGGGTCGTCGGACGCCAGCGGGTCGTCGAAGAGTCTGGGGGACGCCAGGGGGTCGTCGAAGGCCACCTGCTCGAGGCGACGTCCCTTTTGCCTCCTCTTCCCTTCTCTTCCCCCTCCTCCTCTTCCTTCTGAGCCCGCCCTCCTCCTGCCTCCTCCTCCTCCTCCTCCTCCTCCTCCTCCTCCTCCTCCTCCTGCTCCCCCACCCTCCACCCTCAACGAACCGCTGGCGGGGCGCTGGGCGGCGTCGACACCCGATCGAGCTTGTCAGAGCCGCTGTCCCTGGAGAGTGGGCCAGGCAGGAGGGGGGCGGCGCGTCGAGGAGCTGCTGCGGCAGAGGGCGCGTCGAGGGGCCGAGTGGTGAGGGTGGGGGCACATGGGGGGAGGGGGTCGCGAGGAGGGGAACGCGGGGTGCGGGGAGAGGTGAGACTGGGGGGGGGGGCCCTCTCCTCTCCAGCATCACTTTCATCCGCCGCCCTCGGCCTTTGGTCTCCTTCTGCTAGTGATCCTCGTTCGTGTGCTCCTGCTCCTGATCATCCTGCCCCTCTTCTCTCCCCCCTCCCTCCCTCCATGCTCCTGACAGTGATCGCTTAAGCCAGAGTAGTGGGTCCAGCGCATTGGTCTGCGGGAAGAGGTGCAATGATACTTGCAACAGGTGCCTGGATGCAACAACATGCGTGCTGAATGCAATGATGGTGCTTGGATGTATTAGTGTATGCTTGCCACATGCAGGAATGGGCGCCCGTGAACTAGTTCATGCCCGCCCGCAAAAGTTGCGCATCACTGCACGCCACAGACATACGATCTGTGATTCAAGCTCATTCCCGAGGGTTTGCAAGAGGGGCCGAAGGACATATCAGGCAGACAGACGCCCCGCAGAGGCCGAGATCCCCGCTTCCTTCCTGCCCTTGCTCTTGCTGCTCTCACCCCTATTTCCCGCTGCCCTCTCAGTTCAATGTTATTCTGCAGGGCCCTGGGCCTGAGAGCTACGCCTCGCCCCAGCGCGTGAAAAAGATATAGTTGGCGCCGCGCGCCCATCCATATCACAGTGGCAGCTTGGAGCGATGCTCGCTGCCCCGACCTTCGGGCAATCTGTGTATATACATATATACATATATATATATGTATATATATATATATATATATATATATATATATTCCACGACGACGTCCGCGACGCGTCTGCACACGGAACCGACGACCAGCGCCGTCCTGTTGCTCTGCAGCGCAGTGCTCATCATCATCAGCGTCTGCGACGCCGAATCCAATGCGAGTGTCAGCGACACCGCCTACCAGCTCTCCGCATCGGCAAGCGACGACAGCAATTTCATTCCCCACCTCACCTTCGTGAACAGCGTCAGCGACGCCGAGAGCGATTGCATTCCCTACTTCACCTTCGTGAACAGCACCAGCGACGCCGAGTGCAATGCGAGTGTCAGCGACACCACCACCTACCAGCTCTCCCACACGGCAAGCGCCGACAGCGATTTCATGCCTGATTTTATCTTCGTGAACGGCGTCAGCGACGCCAAGTGCCACACGAATGTCAGCGACGTCATCTACCAGCTCTACTACGCGGCAAGCGCCGACATCTCCCTCGACAAGTTCAGCATCGACTCGGTTAGTTTTCATCTCATTGTGGACAGTAGCGACCATATTACCTATACGACGACCCTTCGGATGATAAGGAGGTTGTGGGGGGGGAGAGGGTGGGGGACCAACATCTGACCCAATCGATCTCACTATCGGTCTCACTCAACAGGAAACCACGGGATACCACGGGACACTTGTCGATCTCACTATCGATCTCACTATCGACCTCACTCAACAGGACACCACGGGCCACCACGGGACACCGTGGGACACCTGACGATCTCACTATCGGTCTCACTATCGATCTCACTCAACGGGACACCATAGGACACCACGGGACACCACGGGACACCTCGGGCCACCGTCGGACGGACGGACGGAGAAACATTTCTCTTGACTTCGCCCTGGCAACGGCGGGTTCATTCCTCTCGCGCGCCCACGCAGCTTCGCCTCGCCCGCACGCGCGACACGAACGAAACGAAACGATTTCCCGGTTGGGGGTCTCCGTTCCAGTGCGATCTCACCCCCCAACCTCCGGTTTCGTTTTTCAGTGCAAAGATGACGGAACAAAATGGCAACCATTCAATCATACCAAGTTGGAACGGAAACCCTGCGAAGTGGCGAAACTACAAACAGGAAGTGAAGCCATGGAAGCTTAGCGATAATCTTGAAACGACGCAAAGCCATGCATCAAAATTGGGCCTCAAGTTCACGGGCACGGCACGATCGGCCGCGCTCAACATGCCCGAATAAGACCTACACCCGCCGGCTCCAGAAGGCATTGAGGAGCCCGCCGACAGGAACCGATTCCGGAATCAGCAGGGAATCGAGAACGTACTCAGACATCTCGAGGCAAACCTTGGACAGCAAAAGCCCGTGCAGAAGTGAGAGACGCTCTAGAAGTTTGTCGAATCAGCGCAGCATCGCCGCAGAAGGGGAGAACGCATGACAGATGACAGATTGGCTTGTAAATTTCGAAGCTGGTCTTGAGCAACTTCATGAAAATGAGGTGGATCTCACCGCGCTGGATGACGTTGCCGGTTGGTTCCCACTGCGGAACTCACGGCAGAACGGCGTGAACGAGTTGTGGGCAACCTGCCGGACGAACACTACTCATTCCAGCGAATCCGAGGACTGCTTGTACGGTAGGTTCGTGTCGTGCCGACCCCAGCGTTGGTTTTTGACACCGCAGGGATCGTTCAACCTTGAACGATCGGCCGCTGCCGCAACGTCCGATCGTTCAACATCGATCGATTCTGGGTCGCCCGCGGCGTTCAACCTTGAACGCCCGCGCTGGGGTCGCCGCTGGTCGACACGAGGCAAACCTACCGTACGGATGTTCCCGGACATTCGTTCGTCCGAGCGAACCGCCCGCGCGCCGTCGCGGCCGTGGCCGCAGCGCTCCAACGGCAGTTGGCAGCGCTCATCATCGAGCCGAACTCGTTCGGCAAGTGTCGTCGACGAGTCTGGGGGCGACAGGGGCGAATCGGAGGACGACGGCGACGCCGAGGCTAACGTCCAGGACATCGTTCGCCATGAGCTCGAAGCCTTGAGCACCGAGCTTGGGCAGTCCAACTTCGACCTCGGCGAGGCGTTCGATGGCGACGATTCTGCCAAGGTGGAGGCCGCCGCGGCGGAGCTCGCCGCGATCCCCGAGGCCATGGCGACCATTCGGTCGGCCAGGGAGGCCATCGAGGGCCGCGGGAAGGGCGCGCCGAAGCGCCGACCCGCTGGCAGGAACCTCCAAGGCCGCGTGGACCAGCGCAAGAAGACCTCGCAATGCTGGGGTTGCGGCGAGAAGGGGCGCTGGCCGGGCGACAAGGAGCGCCCGGCACCGGGCGCCCGAAAGTACGCTGCTGAGGACAAAAAAGAAGGGCGGAGGGCGAGGTGTCGGAGGCCGCGCGCGCCGCCAGGCCAGCATCGCCGAGCAGGTCGCCGACCAGAACCACGGGTTCGGTGACGAAGAAATGGTGCATCCAGACGGTCGGGTCACCCCGACGCCCGAGACGCTGGTCTCTGAGCGCGCGGTGGCCGACTTACCCGCCGTGAGCGCCACCGAGGGGGGCGAGACGCACCACGACGACGGGGTCGGGGTGACTGACGCCGCCTGCCTGTTCTGCGCCGGTGGACCCGGACGGCGCAAGAAGTGCAAGGACAGGCTCATCAAGGTGGGGCTCGCCGACCAGATCCTGGAGGAGCCCGAGGGCGAAGTCTCTGCCTCATCCGCCTCATCCGCCTTCTTCTCGCTCATGTGTCTCCCTCCTCATCCTCCCCTCAATAAAATACGTCTTCTCTCTCGTCCCTCCTCCCTCCTCTGTCGCTTCCCTCATTCTCCGTCCCCTCATCCTCGTTCGGGAACGGCGGCGCGCTCCCGAGCAAGCTATGCGTCACCGCCCCACTCGCGCTGCGCGGTCGCGCTGGGCGCATCGTGTTCAGCGTCGTGGATAGCCCCGCGCTCGGCCTGCCGATCGGCCGGGACGTCATCCAGCCGTCCAAGATTGGCATCTCGCCCTGGAAGGAGCAGATGCGCATCGGGAGCCACTCCCAGAAGCTCATCGCCAGCAGTGCGGGGCATCCCGCGATTTATCTCCATCCGGAGGAGTGGCTCACCATCAAGGACGCGGGCCGCGTGTTCGGCCCGATGATCGCCGAACCCAAGGCCGCCAGCAACAACGACAAGACGGCCTCACTACCTACGGCCAATGCGACGACCAAGGCGGACTCCCTGGTCGAGTCCATCATGAAGCTCATCCCCAAGAAAGAAAGAAACGTACCCAGGCGACTCCGGCCGCGCCGAGTCGCCGGGTCACGGCTTATGACTGCTGTGGCATCTGCTCTGGCCTGCTGCTCTAAAGCAGTGGCGCCGCCTGCATTTACGACGCTCCAGGAGCCGACGACCGTCTGCATCGTCGACCCCATCGACGACTGTGCGGCATGCGGCGTCAAGCCCCACGATGAATGCCTGCACCTCGGGTTCTGTTCCGAGTGCATGTTAAGCCATCTGGCCACTTTAGACATCGACAACGACAGCAAGCCGAAGGAGGTCAACATCGTGGGGGAGGAGTAGACGATAATGCGAAACCTCAAAAAGGGGACGAAGAAGCTGCTCATCGCCGGCAAACGATCGGCCATCGTGACTAATAAGAGCGGCATCCTGCCGCACACGGTCAGTCAGGCTCTCAAGACTGAGTTGGCCAAGTCAGCTACGCGCCCGAGCCCCGTCTCGAAATGCAACATTACCACCCTCTACGAGTGGTGCTGCAACCCCGACAGCAAGCTCGGCGCTAAGTGGAAGATGAACGGAGGAGCTGCTGTTCGCTGTGGACTTCCAGGTTACGATCTCTCTCGAAAGGTCATAGTGAACAAGCTAGAGGGCAAGATCAGAAAGGACCTGCGAAAGGGGAAAGAGCGCACGAGTACACACCGCCTTTTCGCGTACGCCGTGGACTGCATTGCAGCGCCTCATTCTCAAGATC